AAGAACAAATTATTTGGAAACCAACGAAACAAGACGTACAGCATTACCTGTAAGGGATCATGGCTCAAAACTTTCGAAATTCCAACGTCCCAATTCAGCCCTAAATGTCCAGTCCTCTGGCACTTCTCGGAATAATGTAATGTTACAGGACGATAATTGGTTATGCAGCCATTACAAAAGACATTGCTACGTAAAATTTGAATGTTGTGACAAATTCTGGCCATGTCATCGTTGTCATAACAACCAAAGCTCATGCGGCAGACGAAAGTTGAAATCGCGCGACACAGAGTTGTTGAAGTGCGTATACTGTGATAAAGTGCAACAGGTAATTCAAATTCTCTTCTAATGAAGGTTCCACCCCAAACGGATTTCCAAATTTCAAAATTTTTTTCATTTTTGTTTTAGTTCGGTCAATTTTGCTGCGAGTGTGGAGCTAATTTTGCAAACTATTACTGTGGTTTGTGCAAACATTTAACTGGGAAAGACGACTCCGTATCATTGCGAAAAATGTGGAATTTGTAGGTATGCTTTGTACTGATGTACATTCAGAGTGCTTTGAGGGTTTTTCAGTACTTTCCTGGGCATAGCTATTATTAATAAGCCTTGCAATGTTTATATATGAAGGTTACCAAAGTATTCTAATATATTTACCTGAACATTTTTGGCGACTAAACAAGAAACAGGACACATAGGAAGCACTGAACGATCAATTCAAACGTATATTTTAGTTAAAAATGAAATCGTTCAGTTGTATTAGTAATTATCACGCACTTTGATCCAATCCTCAGACCTTATAATTGTCGGATTACAGCTCTAAGGAACATAGAAGATATTCAGTTTGACAAAGTACCTTTTCAGCATATCTTTTCTATACCGCTAAGTTTATTGGCTAAGTTTAAGAGGTTTTGTAAGCGATTATTCCTATGTAAACATGAATAATTATGTGAACAGCTACCCCTACCTTATTAGCCTGTTTAACTACGGCCCTGCTCAATGTAAGTCGTTCATTTATCTTAGAAACAACTGCAAAAAAACCCTAACCTAAATTTTAGACAAGCTAAAATTCTTGATCATGCGCCTGTGGGAAATACAATAAATACCTTCAGAAAATACTCATACTCCTCCACTCTATGTTGTGTTTCAGAATTCATGGTGATCGTTCTTTTCATTGCGATGTCTGTGGTGTTTGTTTGGATGTTCAACTTCGAGACAATCACAGATGTCGTGCAGGATCTGCTCATGATGAATGCTGCATTTGTTTGGAGGTAAAAGGAAATGCATTGTGCCCTGCATAGTTGAATCGTACGTTGTTAAAGGTAGAAAATGTAATATTTTTCTTCCAGGATGCCTTCACAGGGTGTCAAATTCTCCCCTGTTCGCATAAGGTCCACAAAGAATGTGCAACACAAATGATTCGCAGCGGAATGTGAGTATACTTTGTAGTTTAACCAGTCAACTGTGGTGGACGAGGGACGATAATTCGGTGCACATATTCAAATATATTCATGTTGTGCAAGATTAATTTCTTTTCAAATTGATTGCCTAGCTTTACCGATCTGTTAACATGAATATGCCCCCCCCAATTATCATCTGTCGTACGCCACTGCCAGTCAAAGCATTACAGACATCTTCTCCCCCACCACATCCCTTAATCAATATAGAGTGCTGTCCTATATTGTGTCTTCTTTACAAAGCATTTATGGTAAAATAAACATTGTTTTGGAGGCGAGCGCAGGCCAATAGGTTTCGTCTCATCGGGTATAATGTTAATTAAAGGCGACAGAATAATTAGAATGTAGTCGATGGGTTGGTCAGGAAAATTGGCGTAGCCAGCCTGATGATTTTGTATTTAGAAATTTGTTGTTTTCGCAGTCAATCAATCACAGTTCTCCCCCGCTGAAAGCAGTAAAAATGATTCGGTAATCTGAAAAGACCAATCATTTCGAACTGACAATATTCCCCCGCCTAAGTCATCATTACTGACATTGTCAAAGTTATTATATATCATATTTATATTTCACACATTTTGTTTTCCAGATAAGCTGAACGAAATCATGTTTCATAGTTATAAATTCACTTCTATTGTGGGTTCCCAAACAGAACGCGATATTTTGGTCCACAATTTTCCTAAAGGATACAATTTATTAACACTTGAACCCTCGTTTCATTCTTACAGCACTCGATGTCCCATCTGCCGCGAGAGCTTCGCTCACAAACTTGAACGACGACCGGCAGATTCGGAAAAGCGTTCTGGCTTTGGAAAATAACCACGATTTTCTCCTACGATTTTTGCTGTGAATTTATTTGCGATTTTCTGCTTTTGAAAGATGTGAACGAGTAAATGAGTTACGGATGTTCAAATAAGAACTCTTATACATCACTGCATTGCAAACTTATAACTCATTCATATCTACCAAAAGAAGACCATCGCACTTAAATCCGCAAGAGATATTGAAAGTGTAAACCGGCGTAAAAGAATGGCCAAGTTCAGACGACTTTCATAGGCATGTGCATCAGTCAAGTTTGTCTAATAGTATGCCCTTGAATTTCCAAGTAACGAGGCCAGTTATTTTGTAAGTACACCCATACGATTTTATTTTTTATTATTAGGTAAATAGAACCGCACTGAATAATTCATGTTACTCAAAATTATATGTATAAGTACATCTGTAAAATCTTGATAAATGTTTACAAAGCTAAGTTTAACAGTTTCTTACGGATTTGCATTAACTTCGTTGGAATTCGTTCAAATCGTTAAAACGAAAATTCGTTGAAAAAAGACCTGTGGACAAGGAATTTAGTAGAGGATTTGTATTTTCTATTGGGATAAAGCCCATGCATATCAGACGTCGAATTTCCATGGGCCCGTTTATACACTTGCAATTTTTGCTGCGATTTTCTTCTGATAGATGTGAACCATTAATAAGTTACGAATGCTCTGAGGTGTACGAGCTCTTATTTGAACATGCTTAACTAATTCACTCGTTCATATCTATCGCAAGCAAAAAATGGCGAGTGTAAACCGGCCTTTACGCTAGCGTATATAAGTGAAAATCTAACTGACGGAACCGTATTGACGATTTGATCTAATTTTACTCGACGTGAGTGATTTGAATCCATTGTGTCATGTGAGTATAAAATTAAATAGATATAGCGTGAAGTAGTTTAGTGGTTTGAGTTAATTGCGTTATTACAAAATTATATTTTGAAGAAGTTTCGTAGTTCAAGTTAAGTATATATGATTATTATAACAATACCTTTAAATAAGTGCATGGTTCATTATAGAATTACTATTCTCTGTAAATACAGTCGAATAGACGACTTAGGTTCCTAATTAGAACTGTTAATTGTTTACAGTGTACTCTGACTTTATGAAATACATTGAAAATAAAATAATTCTTGTGTTAAGGCACTTTTTTAGAATGATTTTACTGAAAAAAAGGAATTCACGTTTGATCCAAACATGAACTCATGCAAAGCAGGCGTTCAACCACTGGCTGGGCTTTTGTATAAACGAAATTTGTATCTTTGACATAATTGTATAGATTGACATTAATTAGAGCTTGCACCTGCATGCAGCATCAATCATGATCGTGATAGTTAAACTTGCATGGCAACAACATATGATTAGTGATCCGGAAATGGAACTTCTGATATAAAACAAGGCTCAGTTATAACGTTTTGTCAATTCTGCTAATCCGAGTCGTATCTGAACAATCTTCCGCGTCAACAACACGTTTAAAATATAGGAAGAATAAAATATGAGAGAACTAAATGCATGAGAAAAGTAAATAGATTAATTACCGGTTTGGTCGTTCCGTATAGGATATAATAATAATTTTTTTCTTGGCAGTTCGAAATAATAATTTGCGTTTTCCTGCAATCTGTTTGGCTCCGAGAGCGGTCGCGTATGAGGCCGTACGGACCGCGCGAAATTTAAATCCTCAGCGATGACAGTGAATATCGAACTTTTTTGACGTTTTCCTGCTTTATAATAAACTAATTTATACATCTTAAAAACGAATTTGTTCTCTTGATTTTTGAATATTGCTTAAATATAATTGTATTCGTTTTATTCGCGCTTGAAATGAACTTGTCATGATCAATCTTCCTTACTTGGCGTCAATTCCCTCAGGTCTTGGGGAGAATTAAATGAAAAAAGTAAATAGATTATTTAAAGTTTGGTCGATGCATATAGGGAAATATTTCCCTCGGTCACGAAAACGTCCCTCGGCGTTTGCTCTCGCGAAAATTTCGGTAAATAGCATATATATAAATATATACACCCATTTGCAAAAACGTTGGCCGCTGATAGATAGATAGATAGATACTCGAAGTCTAATTAGAATTGCATATGATTACATTTGCATAGGATTTCAATCATATTACACCACATATGCAATTTTAATTAGATTCCGGGTATCTATCTATATATCTATCTGCGGCCAACGTTTTTGCAAATGGGTGTATATATATATATATATATATATATATATATATATATATATATATATATATATATATATATATAATATATATATATATATATATATATATATATATATTTATATATATATGTAATTATTATATTATTACATACAAGCTTTAGATTTCAACCTACGGTGTTTGTGAGAAAAACGCGTGTATATAAGTAATTAAAGCATTATAATTTATGCAAATTTTCAAACTTTTTAGAGGCATAATACTAGCTATTATAAACGATAAGTTGAATAGATTTTAATTTGACACAAAGATCGTTATAATAAATAATATATCGCATACCGAATTTGTACGAGATGATCATGTATAATTCAGTTATACTGATAGATGTATTTGTATAGTTGTAAAATTATGATTCGTCAGTTTTTTAAAACAACGAGCCACGCACTCATGCAGCCGTTGACGACAATGTGTATACCTGCATATGCCTTTTAATATTCTGCATAACAATTATAACACAAGCAATTTACGACACGTTTTAAATGAAGGCTCCCTGGAGAAGAGAAACTCCCCTTCTGTGCTTATATTGTTAATTTTCAGTTGATATAAATTAATGATTCGAGACCTTTCTTGACGTTGATAATCCAATCTTGTATTGTCTTATAAACGAGCGATGTTATTCCAATCTTGTATTTTATTGCAATTTTTTTTGTTTATTGCATCAGAGAATCCTGCAATGTTTCAAGGTAAGTCAAAGCGTAACTATGATATTATATGCATGCAGTGCATCTACTAATTCGTTTGTACATTTGTTGCTCAATTCTTAATTCGTTGCTGAATTGCTGGCAATCCTTGTAGCTACACGCGGTATTAAAATATACAAAAACGCCTCATAAAAAAACATCAGTTAATTTTTAAACAGCGAATTCAACGTTTCATTATATATTAAAGTGAGAAGTTTTTGTGGTATGACAGCTATCAAAAGCCTCACAAGATCTAATTCAGCTCCTTCAGATATTCGAATTAAATATCTCGCATTTTAAACCTCGCAAATGCTTTTTAAATTCTATATGTAAGACAAAGAAAAACGCGTGAAATGTCTGTCGAGGTTAATAATCGTATTTGGTTTAGATGGGTCCTTTAACAACGTTACTTCTTGTAGAGAAGCAAATAATTAATGGTGGCAAATAATGTTGGAAGAAAAAAATATAGGGCGTACATGTACTGATGTTGCAGTTAATGAAACTGTAAAACTGCTGCATTACCCTAAGACCCCATTGACAATTCTTCGTTTGCAATTTTGGGCAAATTACACTAGATAATTTTTTCTAAATTTATGTATCTTCAGCGTATATAAACGAAAATACTCTACGAAGACCTATAGATCTTTTTGTCTTTCTCGTAATCCTATTTACTATAGAGTTATAATTATTTTAGTCTTTCGTCTTGTCTTATTTGTAGGGGTGTCTCGCATAAAAGAAAATGTCATTGCTCAATTCTCTGAGAGCAACAGTATATTTTGTGAGCTTCAGTGCGCTGTACACCGCTTTTGTGTCGCGTATAATTACAAGAAGAAAGTTGATGAAAAAGAGTTGAATTGTCAGCTAACTAACACAACAGAGCATAAATTTGACGAGGATAAAGTTGCCAAGGAAGAGCAAGAGTGGACGTTCTACGAGATTAACGTAGACAGAAGTCACTTTGTGAGAATTTTGACATTATTATCTGTCGACCCGCGTAGAAGTATTAAAAGTTTAGACGAATTCATTTTTTGATTGGTGTTGCATATATGATAAATTATATGAATTTTTTGAAGGAATTCACTTTAGCCTAAAAGAATAAACAATTTTAGATCTCTAGACGGTTCTCGTATTGCTCATACAAGCGCGTGCCAATTCTCATGTTTTTCATTGAGTAAATGCATAAAAATAATTTCTAATCAATATTCCTTTTCGCACTCAGGAAGTAAACAATTTCCCCTTAGCTTATAATACAATTATATATGTAAATATTCGACATTATTTTTATTTCAAATTTCTGAGGCAACCTGCAGGAAAGAAGTGAATGAATGTCATAATGGCGGCGCCATGATTTGGGATCCGAAAAAGAAGTTCACCTGTAAATGTTTAAAGTGTTATAATGGGCAGTTTTGTGAAAACGGTAACTATATATATTTTCAATAACAACTCGTTTTAAAAATCTTGACAACCGCTTTCCAGTAGTGAGCCGTAAGTTTAATTTCGACATTCTTGCTGAAATATCAGGGCAAATGCATGTCTAAGCTCATAGATAATGGTCATCAATAATGTATGTTCTAATGAGTTTTGACATTATGCCGTTTTTTTTGAACCCTTACGGCGAGTCAAAGCATAAGCAGCAGAAATATGCAGCGATACCCACAACCCAAGTATCATCATGGATGATTTTTACTACTCCTTATTTTTATTATCAATTATTACTAAGAGGAAAAACTTTTCAAAATGCAAAGCAAAACTCGTTGCAATTTCTCTATTCGTTTTCATTTACCGTAATTCTGATGACGCTTTTCCTATAATCCCTGGAAATTATGACAAACGGAAACAAAATACGACAACTGTTTTAATACAGTGCATGAGATGGCTCTTGGAATGGAGAATGGTAGCATTCGTGACAAGCAGATCACCGCGTCGGGGGAATGGGATACAAAACACCCTGTTGCTAATGGAAGACTGAATTTAATACCACCTCCTGGTCAATCAGGGGCATGGTCATCACGGTACAATAATCTTAGTCAGTGGCTTCAGGTTGATTTTCAAAGATCTACTCTGGTGACAGGAATCAGTACCCAAGGACGCCACAGCAGTGTTGCTAATCAATTTGTTAAGAGCTACACGATCTCATTCAGCAAAGACGGAATATATTTCCAGAATTATAAGAATGGGAAAGCAATCAAGGTACTCTCGTCACTTTTATTTGCATTATTTAATGTTTATCGGCCGCGACAAAAAAATTATATCGGCTTTCGTTAAATTGGAACAAGAAATTGTCATTTAAGATTTGTCTATAGTTATTTTCGTGAAACGTAACCCAGGTAAGTTATTCCCTGAAATTTATTGACATGATTTGTTACGTTTTACAGCTAAATGCGAAAATAAAAACATTAGCCCGATTACATAAAAATTATACTATTATATATTATTATATATTATTATATATAATATATATATTAATTTATATATATTAATATTAATATATTATATATTATATATTATTATATATTATATATTATTATATATTATTGGAAATGCAAGGCTGGATGATGATAGCCCCTGCCAATTTAATCTATCCGCCTTTATTTACTATATTATATATTATAATATATTAATATTTAATATTTAATATTTAATCTATCTATATTTGTAGCCTAAGCACGGATAAAGTGCGGACCCTTGGAGTAAGTACGGGTACCCTGCAACTGATATACCGGCGTGGTGCTTAATTCTAATTAGGGTGTTTGAGTAAAGGCACATTATGTATGGAATGTGTGCATTTAAAGGGATACGGCATAAAAATTATCTTTGTCTGTTATGAAAGAACGTCATGATTATTTACAAAAGTCGTTTACGGATTTTTGTTTACTTTATTACTTCTCAAGATATTTTCGTATGAAATAATCTTCCATCCGCCATTTTGGATATGCATATTGTTGCTCTGAGTGCGTTGCGTCTAACGGTCAAAGCTGGGTGAAAATTCGTTCTGTAACTTCAAATTAACGATTCGGCGAAGTGATAGTTCCATGGCATTAGAATCGCACGTATCTCGAACATGTAATTGTTACTTTTAAGCGTCAACCCTGCTTTGACGTCACGTAATTAGATCTCATTATAAAACAAGATGGCGGATATATCTTGATAGTCGATGTTTTTGATCGCCAATATCTTGCGAAGTAAGGAAGATAAACAAATTTTGCCAAAAGGCTGCGTAAGAAGTTTAAATTTTCTTTGCAACAAAACAGAAATAATTTTTATTGCCATATCTCTTTAAAATGAAGCTACTATATAGCGAACTTAAAAAAATGTGCTTGCATGGGAAAATGCAAACTCTACATGCAAAAGACAACAATGTTGCGGTGAGAAACGATATATGTCTACAATGAATGGCGTAGCAAGCACGATAATTGGGGGGGGAGGGGCGGTGTTCATATATTCATGTTCCGCATGAATAATTTCTTTTAAATCGAATATTCTTTACAGTCTGTTAACATGAATATATTTATGAATATTAAGTAACCCCCCCAAATTATCAATGATTCAGACGTCACTGCATGGATATAAAATTTCAACAACCTTAACTTGACAACTGATAGGGACGCAAACAAGCCGGCTACGCAGCAATCTTTCTTCCTTCTCAAAGCCTCATATTTGTTGGCACATGAATTTGGAGGTTTCAACCTGTTCCCTTTTTCCGAAGCACAATATCATAATAAATATGGTATAATGATACATTTCTATTACAGCACACAAGTCTCTTCCAGGTCAAAAGGTTTATTTACCTTATTTTGTATCTGTATTTATCATGCTTTATCAGTGGATATCTTCTAACAACTAAAAAGCGCTAATAATCTTTTCTTAGGAATTCCATGGTAACAGTGACCACAATACTATAGTCAGCCAGATGGTTGTTCCTCATATTTCTGCTCGATTCATTCGCCTTCATCCAACGGCTTGGAACAACCATATTTCAATGAGAGTTGAATTTTATGGTTGTTATGTATATTAATTATACAGCCTGGAATGAGCACATCAAGAATCGAATTTTATGGCTGTTTTTTGATATAATACCCTGTAATTTTAACATCGATAGTTGTTGCATTAAAATTACACAGGATTAGGAAGATTGGATGATAAAAAATGTAGCAAAAGCAGTAGTTCAGTTTAATCCTTTCCCTTTCCGGAGGATCAAGAGTTACATTTTGCTGTTAAATATTTAAACTGAGAGAAACCATAACATACTAGCTGTTACACACCAGGCGATAGACTATAGTACTTCAATACCAGGACCATTAGCAAAAAAAGATTATTAATAATAAACGCGAATCGCTTTTGTTAATTGATAAAAATGTTTAAAAGAATTATTGGCATACCGATAAAGAATTTATTGCTTCCTGCACTTGAGACTTAAAGTAGAATTAATACTTTAGTTTGACGCGCGAGTAATGGTAACGCGTTGGAGAGCGCAGATGAGGGTCAGTATAGATAAAGAGCAGAATGTGCTGCCAATTCATTCTGCTCCTCGCTTCGACAAGGTCATTACAGATCTAATTTGAACCCACCCTCCTCCCCGTTTTCTCACCCGAGCTTAATGTATATGGTATATTAGTATATTCGGTTGAGCGCGTTTAAATTAGCCCCATCTTTTCTGTGCGAATTGCCTTGTAATTGAATTTATTTTTTGTCGATTAGTAATTAATTTGTTGTTGATTAAAAATTAATAGATCGGCATGTGCGTTAGACAGTTACGCACTTTGCCAAAATCATTCCAACTCTGTGTCTAAGTTGTTTTTGTACGAGATCTAGATAACAGAAAACAGAGCTCGTCATGACAAGGTATCTTTTAGATATGAAGCTAATGAAGGCAAGCGATAAAAATATTTTGAAATCAATGTTTAAAAACTAGAAATGCTGTGTGTATAAAAATGAATAGGTTCACTGAATCTATAAATTACTCTTTTCAGTTTATACACATACAATTTTTTTGTTCTGTCACACAAATACACACCTACATATTATGATAGCGAAGTCTTACAAAATATTTGAAAAATGGATTATCGCCGAAGTTGTGATCTGCAATGATCATATCGATCGCATAAATGATTGGTTCGATGTTGGTTTAAATGAATATGAACTGCAGCGTGTCTCAAATTCAAAATCACCATTTGAAAATTTTAAAATCTTAAAAAATTTTTCATTTTGACATATAGAAAAGTATTTTTGAGAATTTTAAAATTGTTAAAAATTGGAAATTTCTAAAATTTTCGAAATCTTTAAGTATACGAAATATGTGAAATTTTCAACATACCAAATTTTTTTTAAAGAATTAAAATTCACAAGTATTATTTCAAATTTTCAAAAGTATTGACATATACCAAAAATATGACAAAACTTTCAAAATTTTGAAATTTTATAATCTGAAAAATTTTCGTGAACGAAAACTGGACGGAACAATTTTAGGTTCACCCGGCGCTAAATGTCTTTAAAGTTAACAACAAAAATTTTATCAAGTAGCTTTACTAATTTTCGAGTTATCGCATAGCGGCCCAAAATTCCGCGAGGAATTTTTCGGTGATTTTTCAATAAAACGTAATAATGTATACTTATACATTATTACATTCTATTATCTGGCAAGCGTGACCTCCGGTGAAATGGAGCTCACTGATTTGCTGAGAAGAATTTTTAGCGGCCATTACTTACCGGTAATTGACTGGCACTTTCCCGTAATGGCCGGCGTTACAATAAGCAATCCAGTACGAGGTGAAAAAACAGAGAAATTCTGAATGAAAAAGACACTAATAAATGTTCAAGGGAATTTTTTTTAAGTAAAAAAGACGTCCCCAGACAGTCTAGGTAAACTATTCATTATTTTGTGTATAACGATTTTTTTTGTGTAAAATTTTTTTTTGTTTCCAAATTTTTTCTTTTATGAAACTTCTGAAAGTCTGGAAAATGGTTAATTTTTGACAAAATAGTAAGGGGTACCCCTTGCTATTTTGAAAAACATTGACCACTCTCGGAAATTTTCCAAAATGTATTTAAATGCTGGAAATAGATTTAAAAGTTTAAAAAAACTAATCTTTTTCGTTTTTACGCAAATTTGCCTTATTTTTAGAGCAATGAAAAAGATGTAGATTTTGGGCAAAATTGTAAGGGATAACCTTTTGTCCCCCAAAATAATTATTTGTCTTATGTCAACATTTTTTTCTGTGCAATATTTCTCTGATCAAAATTTAATATTTTCTTGTGTCAATTTTTTTTCGCCAAATTTTTTTAGTTTGTCCAAATTTATTCTCTCGTGAAAATTTTTTACCAGTTAATTTTTTTATTCGGTGACAATTTTTTTTCTGTCGATTTTTTTCTGTTAACATTTTTTTGTTGTGAGCAAACGTTTTTGCCTGTTAATTTTGTTCTCTTGTGTGACAATTTTTTTCGTCAATTTCTTTTGTGTAACAATTTTTTTTGTTTCCAAATTTGTTCTTTCATGAAATTTTTTAAGAGTTCATTTTTTCATTCTCTGATAATTTTTTTCCCGTCAAATTTTTTTGTATTGATTTTTTTGTCAATTTTTCTCTCTTGTACAAATTGTTCAACATTTCTCGAGATAAACTTCTCTTCGTACCAACGAAAGTCTGGAAAATGGTCAATTTTTGACAAAATTATAAGGGGTACCCCTTGCCATTTTGACAAACATTGACCATTCTCGGAATTTTTCCAAAATGTATTTAAATGCTGGAAATTGATTTAAAAGTTTGAAAAGACTAATCTCGTTTGTTTTTACGCAAATTTGTCTTGTTTTTAGAGCATTGAAAAAGATGTGAATTTTGGTCAAAATTGTAAGGAATAACCTTTTGACCCCAAAATAATTATTTGTTACATGTCAAAATTTTTTTTTCTGTGCAATATTTTTCCGAATCAAAATTTGTTTTCTTGTGCCAATTTTTTTTCTGCCAATTTTTTTTAGTGTGTCCAAATTTTTTCTTTCGTGAAAACTTTTTTGCCTGTTAATTTTGTTCTCTTGTGTGACAATTTTTTTCCTTAATTTCTTTTTGTATAATAATTTTTTTGTTTCCAAATTTGTTCTTTCATGAAATCTTTTAAGAGTTAATTTTTTCATTCTCTGATAATTTTTTCCCTTCAACTTTTTGTGCTGATTTTTTTGTCAATTTTTTTCTTTTGTACCAATTTTTCAACATTTTTCGAGATAAACTTCTCTTCTTACCAACGAAAGTCTGGAAAATAGTCAATTTTTGACAAAATTGTAAGGAGTACCCTCTGCCATTTTGACAAATATTGACCACTCTCGGAAATTTTCCAAAATGTATTTAAATGCTGGAAATAGATTTAAAAGTTTAAAAAGACTAATCTCTTTTGTTTTTACGCAAATTTGCCTTGTTTTTAGAGAATTGAAAAAGATGTGGATTTTGGTCAAAATTGTAAGGAATAACCTCTTGACCCCAAAATAATTCTTTTTCTCATGTCAAAATTTTTTTTCAATCCAGTACGAGGTGAAAAAACAGAGAAATTCTGAATGAAAAAGACACTAATAAATGTTCAAGGGAATTTTTTTTTAAGTAAAAAAGACGTCCCCAGACAGTCTAGGTAAACTATTCATTATTTTGTGTGTAACGATTTTTTTTGTGTCTGTAAAATAGTTGACAAATTAATTAATTTTGACAAAATTGTAAGGGGTACCCTCTGCCATTTTGACAAATATTGACCACTCTCGGAAATTTTCCAAAATGTATTTAAATGCTGGAAATAGATTTAAAAGTTTAAAAAGACTAATCTTTTTTGTTTTTACGCAAATTTGCCTTGTTTTTAGAGAATTGAAAAAGATGTGGATTTTGGTCAAAATTGTAAGGAATAACCTCTTGACCCCAAAATAATTCTTTTTCTCATGTCAAAATTTTTTCTTTGCAATATTTTTCCCAATCAAAATTTGTTTTCTTGTGCCAATTTTTTTTTCTGCTAAATTTTTTTTAGTGTTTCCAAATTTTTTCCCTCGTGAAAATTTTTTTACTAGTTTTTTTTTCATTCTGTGGCAATTTTTTTCTGTCGATTTCTTTCTATCAACATTTTTTTGTTGTGTTCAATTTTTTTTTTCACTTCTGAAACAATCCCTTACTGATTCGACAAATTTTTACAATTCTCTGAAATTTTCCAAATAGTTCTTTAATAAGTAGAATTACCTTATTTGATGTTACGAATACATTTGAACGCATAAAATCATACTTTGGTAAATTTCAAAATTTCAGAAAAATCTGTAACGGAGGAAAAATTGGAGAGATTATGGAAAAACTGAAAAAATTGTGATTTTTGTCCAACTTCTGAATTTTCCAAATTCAGTTCCAAATACCTCGAAATGGTTTTAAACAAAGTATAATTAAATTCTATATTGAAAACAATACACTTGAAAACATAAAATCATACTTTGATAAATTTCAAAATTTCGGAAAAATCTGTAATGGGGGACCACAAGAAAAATTGTTGATTTGGTCAATTTTTTGAAAGTTCGAAATTCGATTCCAAATGACTCGAAACGGTTCAAAATTAAGTACAACTACATTCTTTAATGAAAGAAAACATTTGAGGACATGAAATCATACTTTGATAAATTTCAAAATTTCAGAAAAATCGGTAACGGGGGACCGAAGGAAAAATGGTGATTTTGGTTAGTTTTTCGAAATTTCCAAATTCTGTTCCAAATACCTCTAAATGGTTCAAAACTAAGTATCATTACATTCTTTGATGAAAACACTACATTGGAACACATAAAAGCATATTTTGATGAATTTCAAAATTTCAGAAAAATCTTTATTTTTTAACTCTGTAAATGAAGCAATCTGATTGGCTGAGAAGCGTTTCACAGCGGGCCGGAATTTTGCATCCGGCCCGCTGCAAAATGCATCCGGCCCGCTGTGAAAAATGCAAGAAAAACGACAAAACCAAAGCAACGTAAGGCTAAAATGTGTGAAAACCTTTCTGGAAAAGGCTAGATGAATGTTAAAAATAAAAAACATACCCGAAAAACTTCTTTTTTTTGGATTTTTTACGCCTTTTTTCGCTTGTCAATACGTTGTTTTTTTAATCGATTCGCCGTGATTTAGTTGCTATGATAACAATATTTGCCATTTCATTGGCTGTTTCCCGACTAGGATATCCTTGTAAGGAGTTGTTGACGTTTTAAAATTCTAAAATGGCTTGCAGAATTTAAAATTTTTATAGTTTATTCATTAAATTTGTTGTATTTTTTTGTGTTTTATAAAGTCAAAAAAGTCAAGGTTAAAAAATAAACACGTTATTTACCGGCAGCTT